AGTGAGCGCACTGTTAGGGAGCTCCCGTAAGGTGCCCCTTAAAATTTTTCTGCTGCCTACTTAGAATGAAGAAAGGTCTCAGTTAATATTTGATTTAATGCTGTCAGTGCATTCTGTGACTTTTGGCTGATGTTAAAGTGCAGCAGTTCTGACTGATTTCTTAGTTTCTGACAATCTGTATTTTTCTCTGATTATGATGGCTGTTCCCATAATCAGACTATAGGGTAAGTGGGGACATCCCTTCTTACAGATGAGGAATTTGAAACTCAAACAGGGCAAAGAACTTTCCCAGGAGAGTACTACTAATAAATGTTGAAGCTGCAGTTTGATACTACATAGGTCTGATCTTTCAGTCTAGGTGCTTTCTACTCTGCAGCTTCCACGCTTGGGTGCCCGGGAAGCTCTAAAGGAGGAGGGCCTTTGGGGTGATGACGTCCCACCATCTTTGTGTCTTTTCTTTCCTAGGGATGCTGTGAAGAAGTGTTTTGCCGTGTGTCTTGCATAATTCATGGCCAGTTTTGCGAAGCTTTGGAAGGCACTATGGACAGAAGCTGGTGGACCGTTTTGTAAATATCTTCTAAACCTCTGTCTTACAGACATGTGCCTTTTATCCTGCAGCAATGTGTTGCTTGTGATTCGAACATTTGAGGGTTACTTTTGGAAGCAACAAGACATTCTCGAACCTGAATATCAGTAGCACAGGATGAGAAGTGGGTTCTGTATCTTGTGGAGTGGAATCTTCTTCCTGTTTCCTCTCTGGATTGTTATCCCACTGAATTCCCACGAATACACACCTGTTAAACAGCAGCAGATAAGCCTTGGGTGCCAGTGATTCCCAGGTGGCAAAAAGCAGCCCCATCAGAGATCCCAGGGGAGCAACAGTAAGGGACAGAATTTTGGGGTCAACTTGTCCCTCAGCATGGAAACCGTCACCTCTGTCCTACATGGAGTGAGCATGCTTCTACTCTGGTGTCTGAGAACAAATGACTCTGCCTTACACAAGCCCATGGAGAGCCTGGCCATGGAGTGAGGTAGATTATAAGCACTTTTTGGTGGTATATGCTGTTTCTGAATCTGAACCCAGGCATTCTTGGTGTTCTGATTCTATGCCTGACTGTGGAATGTATTTTCTGACATTTGGTGCAGACTCTTTTTCTCTTGGGTTTTATTTCCTGTCCCTCCCTCCTCCTCCCAACATACTTTTCTCTATAACCTTCAGGCACTAGATGGAGAAAGAACAGCAGCAGCAGAGAACACTGCTATCTCTTTTTGGACAAGAGCCCATAGGAGGTGAAAAATCCTGCTACTCTCAGCTGTATTTTTTTTTCTTCATTATTTATAAATGTTTGCTTTTAAACTGATTTTATTTTCCTTTCTTCCCTGGAGCTGGGCCGGGGAGAGTGGGTGGGAAGGCAGATCCCTGCTGTGCGGCCAGCAGGAAGTAGGCACGCCTGCCCAGTGACCTTTAAATAGTCCCAGTGTTTGCACTTCAGCCTGTGCTGGGGAGGATACCTTAGACTGCAGGTGGTCTCATATCAGCCTGATGCCTAACCTACAAAGTGCTTTTATGTACATGATCTTTTCTGGTTCTTATGGAGAGACTTGTGAGGAAGCAGGGATTGTTATCCCACTGTGTAGTCAAGGAAATCAAGGCCCACATTAGTTTTTGCATCCACCCAAAGCCACAGCGTCAGCCTCTTTCATGACACAGTGCTTCCTGGCCTGTCTCTGATTGTGCCTCCTGTAACTGCCTGTGACTGTTTCCCTCATTTTCATCAGCCAAGCGGTCTCCTAGCTGGCCCTCCCTGCCCATCTCTTTTGGAAGCTGCTTTCTGGATCTGCAGGATGTTGACTGTTCCCTTGTGTTCCCTTTCAGCTTCTCCTCATTGCGTGACCACCATCAGTGCCCTGTCTTGTCAGCCAGCGTTCCTGGCCCTCCAGGACCTCCAGAGTCACCCAACAAATGACATTTATCTGGATTGCCTTTCTGCTCTTTGCCCATGGCCAACTGGTCCACTAGGGCTCCTCCTCTGTTACCTCTAAACCAAAGGGAGTAGCCTGCTGGTTGTCTCCTTGCTTGTGGCTAGTTGCTGAACCTTGCTTTGTTCTATTGTGGCTAAGAACTCAGACTGACTGGTCTCTCCTTTTTTGGTCTTTTTTGAGACAGAGTCTTGCTCCATCGCCCAGGCTGGAGTGCAGTGGCACGATCTTGGCTCACTGCAACCTCCGCCTCCTGAGTTGAGCAGTACTTCTGCCTCAGCCTCCCAAGTAGCTGGGATTACAAGCATGTGCCACCACGCCTAGCTAATTTTGGTATTTTTAATGGAGACAGGGTTTCACCACGTTGGCCAGATTGGTCTGGAACTCCTGACCTCAGGTGGTCCGCCTGCCTTGGCCTCCCAACATGCTGGGATTACAGGCGTGAGCCACTGCATCCTGCTGGTCTTTTCTTCTGAGGCTGGGGAGGTGTGAACAGGCCTGACGGGACCAGAGGGAGAAGCTGGTCTTCCCAGGTCCTTTCTAGGCCACTGAGGGCATCCAGTCATATGCTCAGGTCCCTAACCTGCCCGCAGCCAGGAAAGGAAATTTGATGCTACCCCTCTGGCTTTTGTGGGATTCTTTCACATCCCAGGTGCCTCTTGGAGACAGATTTCAGAAGGGCTGTGGTGTCCGAAGGGGCATGGAGGAGGTGAGGAGTGCTTATGGTTCCTTTTCTTTAGAACTGATATGAGGCTTGGCTGAGCTCCAGCAGCTTGGAATAAGACACCTAGAAGGCTGACTCCTCCATGTCCTCCCCTTTTTTTTTTTTTTTTTTTTGAGACACAGTCTTGCTCTGTTGCCCAGGCTGGAGTGCAGTGGCACAGTCTCAGCTCACTGTAACCTGTCTCCTGGGTTCAAGCGATTCTCGCGCCTCAGCCTCCCAAGTAGCTAGAACTATAGGCATGTGCTACCATGCCCGGTTAATTTTTGTATTTTTAGTAGAAACGGGGTTTCACCGTGTTGGCCAGGCTGGTCTCAAACTCCTGACATCAAATGATCCACCTGCCTTGGCCTCCCAAAGTGTTGGGATTACGGGCGTGAGCCACTGCGTCCTGCCCCTCCATGTTCTTTTCAATGGCTGGATTGACTTTGTGGAACGTGAGGCCAAAGTACCTTTTAAGATGCCACCAGGGCTGTATAGCATAGTAGTAGTGAATGTAGCCTTTGAAGTCAGATGCATCTGAGTGTGAGCTGTGGCTAGTCATATATTAGTTGTGTCATATTGAAAAGTTACATAACCTCTGGTTCCTCAGTTCATCTGTTTGAAAATTGTGGGAATAACAATTCCTGCTGGGTCTTTGCAAGATGTCAGTGAGACATGCAAGTGCTTAGAATAGGGTTCAGCATAAGTAGAGTCTCAGTAGAGTAGGTGTTATTTAATCCCAGAAATAACTGACAGCTTTGGAAAGTGAGAGTGAATGTCTCCGATCATTAATCTAACAGATACTTATCTAGTACTATGTGCCTGGCCCTGTGGACACTGTCATGTTTTTATCTCATTCGTATTCACAATGACTGCCTAGTCAGTGGTATTGCCTCCATCCTCTGAGAGGGTAAAGGGCCAATCCCACACCCCACCAGTGGCGGTGTCAGGGAGGGGTTCCTGGCAGGAGATGGGTCTTGTAGAAAGGCTGCTGCTTTGCTTTCATTCACGACCTGGGGCCAGTTTGCTCAGACAGCTCCTGTCAGGACACCATGGGCAGCTTTTGCATGACCCTACCTCCCAGGTCTTCCTAAATTTTCCCTAAGTTGCTTTATTCTTTGGCTGTTTCCCTACTTGTTTTTGTTAGACTGTGGGAGGAAGAAATCCATTTCAAATCTACTGAAACCTGTTACTAAGCAACAGCAGTAGTTAAAAGCAACCTGATGGTGAGTAAAGAATTAGGGTTTCAGACCTGTAGTTAATAATGGTCTCTGTTTCCCTGCTGCCCTGCATTCCTTCCTCTTCAATTCACTGCTGGGTGAAGGAGGGATCCCCGCATTTTGGAAGTTAAGTCAACCAATAAGGTGACTCTTGCAGATGGGAATGTGGTGCTCTTCCAGCCGTGTGGAAGCACTGTCCTGGAACGATCTGCCCCAGGCTGTTGGCTCCCTGAATGCTATCTTGGGAGGAGCACTGCCCTTCAGATCAGGAGAGACGGCTTCCAGTCCCCTCTCCCCGTTCTCCCAGTCCCTCTGAGGCTGCTTGTTGGGTATCGGGCTGGCTGTGTACTAACTCAGTCCTGTCGCCTGTCTCATTATCTGTCCGTTTGCAGGATGGGCTCAAAGGGAGCCCTCAGTTCTGCTCCTCTGCATGGCTGTGACTCAGACCCCAGCTCAGGGTAGATACCCTTCTTGTCTCTGGGAAGAGTGAAAAATGTCCCAGGTTAGCATTTTCACTGGGTTGTATCTCAGTTGCTGGACCATTTATGTATCACCTTTGTGGGATGACTATGAATTATCTGCCTGAGTGCCACCTCCCTTCCATCATGCTCGGATACTTGAGGAGCTAGAAATAAAATCATGAAACGCGCTCCAAATAAAATCACTTTTTGGCCGGGTGTGGTGGCTCACACCTGTAATCCCAGCACTTTGGGAGGCTGAGGTGGGTAGATCCCTTGAGGCCAGGAGTTCAAGACCAACCTGGCCAACATGATGAAACCCCATCTCTACAAAAAAAACACACAAAAAAATTAGCTGGTCTAGCTGGCATGTACCTACAATCTCAGCTACTTGGGAGGGAGGCTGAGGCACAAGAATTGTTTGAACTCAGGAGGTGGAGATTACAGTGAGCTGAGATTGCACCCCTGTACTCCAGCTTAAGCCACAGAGTGAGACTGCTTCAAAAATAAAAATCACTGTTTCGTTTTTTTTTTTTTTTTGGAGATGGAGTTTCGCTCTTGTTACACAGGCTGCAGTGCAATGGCACGATCTCGGCTCACCACAACCTCTGCTTCCTGGGTTCAAGCAATTCTCCTGCCTCAGCCTCCCAAGTAGCTGGGACTACAGGCATGCACAACCATGCCTAGCTAATTTTTGTAAAAAAAAAAAAAAAAAAAAAAATCACTTTTTTATACTTCTGTTAAAATAGATAATAAGGGACCATATTTTAAAGTGTGAAGGATCTGGCTTGGCTTCTGCTTTTGATAGCCCTATGAAAGTGACAAGTGTGGCATCGTGAGACTTCTGGGATGAATTGGGAAATTGAAGGGCAGCCTTGTGTCTGTGAATTCTGTTTTCTATGAGACAGTCTATACCAGGCTTTATCTTCTCTTTGCTCAGATAACTTCTGACCTAGAGTTGACTGTAGGAGTATAAATAGTTTAAAATACGTGTTCTTAAAACCTAATTTTCAGCATATAAATTTTTAAGAATCAGTGTTTATCAAAGGTGCATGAAGCCATTTTCCAGAGTTTTGTCATAGTTTTTTTTGATTTAAAAATCTTGTTTTTTTTTTTTTTTTTTTTTGTTAGCTTTAAATGTCCAGTAGTTTATTTGCAGACGGCATTTTAAAAAAGTGAATAGATGTTAACCTGAAGATAAATATAGATTTATGTCTGTGTAACTCTTGGTAAGATATAACAAAACCTACAAGTCTAAATTTTTTGGAAATTTCTATTTTAAAAGTTGGTTGGGAGATAAAATTGTGTGACTTTACTTTCTGGTTAATAGTTTTATAGTTAAGAAGCAAGTGTGGTGAAGTTTACTTGATCTTAGCTCACTCAAGAATAGGGTATTTATGAGCCGGGCACGGTGGCTCACGCCTGTAATCCTAGCACTTTGGGAGGCCGAGGTGGGCGGATCACCTGAGGTCAGGAGTTCAAGACCAGCCTGGCCATCATGGTGAAACCCCATCTTAAAAAAAAAAAAAAAAAAAACAGCAGGGTATTTAGTTCCACTTTGGTTATTTTCACTTCTACCCTGAATTCGTAGTCCCTGATACTTAAGCTTTGCCCTTGGCTTACCAGTTTTTGTTGTAGTGAGATAAATGGGGAGTAGTAGAGCCTTTGTTAATGTAAATTGACAAAAAATTACATCCTTTTCTATCAGGAGTAGATAAACTGATTATGGGCTTAGAAATGTACAAAATGATTTTCTGTAGATAGGATGATCTGAAGCCATGAGTCCACTAGACAGGAGAAACTTTGCTGTTTAAAATGAAAGGTCATTTAGGATCTGGAATAATTTGCTAAAAAAATGAAATGTCAGTTCATAGCATTGTAGCAAATGTTGATACACAGTCACAACAAAGTAATGCCACTACATTTAATAAGCAGCCACGAACAACAGAAGGACAACCGGTCCCTGATATGAATGGACTGGCTACCTGAACATAACATTCTTGTGAGGCATCCTTAAAGGACAAATTGCAGCTGGTATCGGGGCAAATGTTGCTCTGTGTCTGTTGAATGTCCACGCTACAAGAAGTTATGAGCCTTGTTCTGAGTACAAATGAACCTTGTATTTGTGTCATCTCCTAAGAGAGAGGTATAGTTTACATTCAATTTTTTGGTCTTTCTGCTATGAAAGGTGTTTATTTTGCCTCTGTCAATGTGTTTGCTTGACTTAGCAACCTTAAGTAAGGAAAGGAAAAAAACAGCCCTCTGAACTCTGATCTTTTGCTACTTCTGTTATTTTTTATTGTGAAGTTGGGAGTGAGGACATTCAAAAGCCCATGTTGAATTTATATACCTTTAGAATATTGTGCTTGTTTTAAAATGATGAGCTTTTAAAACACTTTGTTTAAACATGAGTCCATTTTTGTAATTGTATGAATACTCATAACTAATTTTGAATGCCATTGATTGTGTAACTGAATTCTTGTATCCAAAAACACATTCTTGAGTACTACTTTTCCTATCTTGAAAATCTATTTCATTTAATAAATATTGTTTTCTTTATGCTAACTTAACTTTAAAAAGAATGTTGCTGTCTCTCCCCTATCACGATTGTTATTTTTTTGCTTTTTTCTTCAATAAATGATAGCATTATGATCTTTAATAAATCTAGTGTTGTCGCTTATTCATGTCTGTATTTCCAGGAGTCTTTAAGCCAAATGAAGATTGTACAACTGTAAGAAAAAACCATATATTAAATTTGAATTCTTAGTGTGTAGCACACATTATAGGCACTTAAAGATGTTTTTAGGGGCCTAACTTGACCTGCAGTCCTCTCCTAAATTCCTTAGGATTTCACATGGGTCTAAGGACAGTTTGGAATGTTTTTGAAAGGTAAGAAATTTCTTTAAGTGTTTAAATTGGAATATGTGTGTGTGTGTGTGTGTGTGTGTGTATTTTTTTTTTTTTTTTTTTTTGAGAGGTTCTCACTCTGTTGCCCAGGCTGGAGTGCAGTGGTGCAATCTTAGCTCACTGCAACCTCTGTGTCCTGGGTTCAAGCAATTCTCATGCCTCAGCCTCCAAAGTAGCTGGGATTACAGTCGTGTGCCACCACACCTGGCTAATTTTTGTATTTTTAGTAGAGACAGGGTTTCACTATGTTGGTTAGGCTGGTCATGAACTCCTGACTTCAGGTTCTCTACCGTCCTCAGCCTCCCAAACTGCTGGGATTACAGATGTGAGCCACTGCTCCTGGCCTATTTTGGAATATTCCTACACACCTAGCTGGTTTAGTTATTTTGTGTAAAGTAGGTTGTCTAATTGGCATAAAGTTATTTATGATGTTTCCCTATTTTAGTATCTGTAAGATTTCTACTTATGTCCTTTCTTTCATTGCTAATGTTGGTAATTTGAGCCTTCTCTTGCCTTGCTTAGAATAGGTAGAAAGTTATCTGTTTTTTCTTTTTTTTTTAAATTTTTGAGTAGAATCACTTAAGTTATCCGTTTTTTTATTGATCTTTTCAAAGGCAGCTTGATTAAGATTTGAACACACATTTAACAAAGGCAGATATATGAATGGCCAACAAATATATCTAGTACATAATGTATTATATGAAATTTAAAAAAATAGGTAAAATAACTCTGGAATTTCAAGTTCTTAGGTGCCTTCATTGGTGATAAAATAATGAAAAGCAAGGAAGTCATTTGCATGAGTTAGGATAGTCATTACTTTGGGAGGGACGGAGAGACTAGTCATTGGGAGGGAACATAATGTGAGGATGCCTCTGGGTGCTGGTCCTGGTCTTTCTTCAAAGACCTTGTGGTAGTTTCATGGTATTTGATAAATCATTGTGCTGTATATGTATTTGTTTGTGTACTTTTCTATTATGTTTTACAAGTAAAGAACCAATATTTGGTTTCATTGATTTTTCAATGTTCATTGTCTATTAATTTGATTTTTTTCTCTTGATTATTTTCTTTTTTATACATACTTTGGGGTTTAATTTGTTCTGTAGCTAAAGTAGAAGCTTAAACCATTGATTTTTACACCTTTTTTCTAATACAATTTAAGCTCTAAATTTCCTTTTTAGCATTGCATTAGCTGCATCTTACAAATTTTGATATGCTGTGTTTTCATTTTAATTCAGTTCAAAATATTTTCTGGTCTTCCTGTGATTTCTTTTTTTGCCTCATTGATTACTTACAAGTGTGTTTAATTTCGAAACATTTGGGGACTTTGCAGATCTTGATTTGTAATTTAATTTCAATATAAATATTGAAATTTAATTTCAATATATAGTCAGAATATAGTCTCAATTTTAATCCTTTTCAATTTCTTGTGACTTATTTTATGGCCTACCATCTTACTTTATCTTGGTGAATGTTCCACATGTACTTAAAAAAATGTATATTCTGCATTTGTTGGGTAACGCCTTCTATCAATATCAATTCGGTCAAATTGGTTAATAGTATTATTGATTTTTTTTTTTTTTTTGAGATGAAGTTTTGCTGTTGTTGCCCAGGCTGGAGTGCAATGGCGCGATCTCGGCTCACCGCAACCTCCACCTCCTGGGTTCAGGCAATTCTCCTGCCTCAGCCTCCTGAGTAGCTGGGATTACAGGCACGCGCCACCATGCCCAGCTAATTTTTTGTAGTTTTAGTAGAGACAGGGTTTCACCGCGTTGACCAGGATGGTCTCGATCTCTTGACCTTGTGATCCACCCGCCTTGGCCTCCCAAAGTGCTGGGATTACAGGCGTGAGCCACCGCGCCCGGCCAGTATTATTGATTTTGTGTTTATCATTCGTTAAGAGAAATGTCAATTATAATTTGGATTCAACTATTACTCTTTTCCATTTTTTAAATGTTTGATTTATCAACATTATCAGTTTTATCTTCATGTATTTTAAGGCTCTGTTAATGTGTTTGTGGTACTCTACAGAAGCAAGATGAACTGCACCCAAAATTTGCTTCAATATCAAGATGCATGATGCCACACACACACCAAGAAGATATGGGAAGTTATTACTTTATTATTTTGGGGGAAAGGAGGGAAGCTTCCCAAGCCGGTTCAAAAATGGCTTGAGAGGGCAGGGTGCAGTGGCTCACACCTGTAATCCCAGCACTGTGGGAGGCAGAAGCAGGAAGACTGCTTGATCCCAGGAGTTAGAGATCAGCCTGGGCAACATAGCAAGACCCCTTCTATACAAAAATATTTTTAAAAATTAGCCGGGCATGGTGGCATGTGCCTGTAGTCCCAGCTACTCAGGGGGTTAAGGTAGGAGGTTAGCTTGAGCCCAGGAGGTTGAGGAAGGCAAGGAAAGGATGGGGGTTCCTCTGTGCAGACACTTGTCTGGCTTGAATCTACTTCTGGCTGCAACAGAGGGAGCACCCAGTCGGACATTCTTATCAGTCCACTCTGGGGCTGAAGAAGAGATGGGGCTTAAAAGATGTCAACAGTCAAACATAAAAAAAAACTGAGTCATTGTATTTAGAATTGTCCTGTCTTTTTGCTGTATTGACACATGGAATGTCCCTCTTTCTCATAATATTCCTTGTTCTGAAGTTTACTTTGCAATTAATATAGCAACTCCAGCTTCCTTCATGATTAACGTTAGCATGGTTATTTATTCCGTCCTTTTAACCTGTCTGTGCTTTTATATTTAAATTGAATTTCTTGTAGACAGAATATAGTTAAGTCCTGCTTTTTAAAAGCCCAGTTTAATACCCTTAAATTATTCCTATGCTATTTGTTTTATTTTCTTATATCTTCCCATCTATCTGTTTTTTTTTTCTTTTCTCGACTTCTTTTAGATTAATAGTGTTGTGAGGTGTGTTTTTTTTTTTTTTTAGGATTTCATTGTATGTTCACTACTAACTTATTCCTCTTTGTTTTATTAGTGATTGCTCTAGCATCTACAGTACCCATCTTTAATATACCATAATCTACCTTCAAGAGTATATATTAAAATAACTTCATAACAGGATATTTCCAATGTCTCTACTCTTGACCTTGGTGAGATTATTGTCATACATTTTACTTCTACGTGTTATAAATCCCATAATACACTGTTATTCTGTCTTTAAACAATTATCTTTTTTGAAGATTATAAAATAAGAAAACCCTTTTATATTTCCCTATGTATTTGTCATTTTCTATGCTTTGCATTTCTTTGTGTAGATTCAAAGGTATCATTTTCTTCTGCCTGAAGAACTGCCTTTTAGTAATTGTTGAGTTTGGGTTTAATAATGTTGAATTAGGGCCGGGCGCGGTGGCTCAAGCCTGTAATCCCAGCACTGTGGGAGGCCGAGGCGGGTGGATCATGAGGTCAAGAGATCGAGACCATCCTGGTCAACATGGTGAAAACCCGTCTCTACTAAAAATACAAAAAATTAGCTGGGCATGGTGGCGCGTGCCTGTAATCCCAGCGACTCAGGATGCTGAGGCAGGAGAATTGCCTGAACCCAGGAGGTGGAGGTTGCGGTGAGCCGAGATCGCGCCATTGCACTCCAGCCTGGGTAACAAGAGCGAAACTCCGTCTCAAAAAAAAAAAAAAAAAAAAAAAAAATGTTGAATTATCTCAGCTTTCGTTTGTCTGAAAAAATTGCCTTTATTTTTGAAAGATATTTCATGTTGGGTATACAATTTTAGATTGGTAGTTTTAGACAATGCTTTAATTTTTTTATTAGACTTTATTTTTTAGAGCAATGTTAAGTTCATAGTAAAAATGAGTGGAAGATACAGACATTTCCCATACATCCTTTGCCTTCATACATGTATAGGCTCCCCATTAATCAACATCCTCCACCAGAATGGTACGTTTCTTAAAACTGATGAACTTATGTTGACACATCATTATCACCTGAAGTCTGTAGTCTATATTAGGGTCATTCTTGGTATTGTACATTCTGTGGTTTAGGGCAAATCTAAAATCATACGTATCTGCTATGATAGTATACAGACTTCTTTCACTCCCCTAAAAATCCTGTGTTCTGCCTAGTCATCCCTCTGCTCCCCCCCAATCCCTTATGACCACAGAACTTTTTACTGTTTCTGTAGCTTTGCCTTTTTCAGAATGTCAGGAATATAATTGGGATCACACAGTATGTAGCCTTTTCAATTCCTGTTGCTCTACATCCTTGTCAGCATTCGGTATTGACAGTATTCTGGATTTGGGCCGTTTTTTTTTTTTTTTTTTTGAGATGGAGTTTCACTCATGATACCCAGGCTGGAGTGCAATGGCGCGATCTCGGCTCACCGCAACCTCCGCCTCCTGGGTTCAGGCAATTCTCCTGCCTCAGCCTCCTGAGTAGCTGGGATTACAGGCACGCACCACCATGCCCAGCTAATTTTTTTGTATTTTTAGTAGAGACGGGGTTTCACCATGTTGACCAGGATGGTCTCGATCTCTTGACCTCGTGATCCACCCGCCTCGGCCTCCCAAAGTGCTGGGATTACAGGCTTGAGCCACTGCGCCCGGCCCGATTTTGGCCGTTCTAATAAGTGTATAGGAGTATCTCATTGTTTTAATTTTAATTTGCATTTCCTTGGTGATACAATATGGAGCATCTTTTCATATGCTCATTGTCCATCTGCATATCTTTTCTGGTGAGGTGTCTGTTAACGATTTTTTTTGTTAGACAGGGTCTGGCTCTTGCCCAGGCTGGAGTGCAGTGGTATGATCTTGGTTCACTGCAGCCTCCCACTCCTGGCCTCAAGTGCTCCTCCACCTCAGCCTCCAGAGTAGGTGGGACTACAGGCACATGCCACCATGCCTGTCTAATTTTTTGTCAAGATGGGGTTTCGCCATGTTGCCCAGGCTAGTCTTGAACTCCTGACCTCAAGTGTTCCACCTGCCTTGGCCTCCCAAAGTTGGGATTATAGGTGTGAGCCACTGCTCCTGGCCTGTTGATATCATTTTTAAAATTGGGTTATTTATTTTCATATTGTTGAGTTTTAAGAGTTTTTTTGTATATTTTGTACAAGTCTTTTATCAGACATATTTTTGCAAAATACAGTATTTTCTCCCAGTCTGCAGCTTGCCGTTTTTTTCTCTTGACATTGTCTTTTGCAGAGCAAAACATTTTAATTTTAATAAGGTTTAGCTTATTGATTCTTTCATGGATCATGCCTTTGGTGTATCTAAAACGTCATTGCCAGCCGGGTGCGGGGACTCATGCCTATAATCCCAGCATTTTGGGAGGCTGAGGTGGGCAGATCACCTTAGGTCAGGAGTTCAAGGCCAACCTGGAAACCCCATCTCTACTAAAAATACAAAAATTAGCTGGGCATGGTGGTGGTTGCCTGTAATCCCAGCTACTCGGGAGGGTGAGGCAGGGAGAATTTCTTGAACCCAGGAGGCAGAGATTGTGGTGAGCAGAGATTGCGCCACTGAACTCCAGCCTGGGCGGCAGACAGAGAGACTGTCTCAAACAAAAAGCCATAATTGCCAGCTAGGTATGGTGGCTCATCTTTGTAATCCCAGTGCTTTGGGAAGCAGAAGTAGGAGGATCACCTGAGGCCACAAGTTTGTGACCAGCCTGGGCAACGTAGTGAGAACTGGCCTCTACGAAAAATTAATAAATAAAAAATTAGGTTGGTGTGGTCGTGTGCTCCTGTAGTCCAGCTACTCAGGAGGCTGAGGTGGAAGGCTCCCTTGAGCCCAGGAGTTGAGGCTGTGGTGAACTATGGTCGTGCCACTGCTCTCCAGCCTGGACGACAGAGAAAGACCCTGTCTCTAGATAAAACAAAACAAACAAACCCCTGGGTCATCTAGGTTTTTTTCCTATGTTATTATCTTGGAGTTTTATAGTTTTTTACATTTAGCCTCTGTGATTCATTGTATGTCCAGCTCTAGCCTCATTTATTAAAAAGATGATCTTTGTTCCATTGTATTTCCTTTGCTTCTTTGTAAAAGATCAGTTGATTATGTTTATGTGGGTCTCTTCCTGGGTTCTGAATTCTGTTCCTTTGATATATTTGTCCATTCTTTTATCAATACCACACTGCCTTAATTACTGTAGCTTCATAGTAAGCCTTAAAGTAAGGTAGTACCAGTTCTCCAACTTAGTTTTTTTTCCTTTAATATTGTGTTGGGTATTCTAGGTCTTTTTGCCTCTCTATATAAACGAAAGAATTGGTTTTTAAAAATGTGTATACCAAATAACTTGCCAGGTTTTTGACTGGGATTGCAATGAATCTATACATCATGTTGGGAAGAATTGATATTATGAAAATATTGAGGTGTTTTGTTTTGTTTTGTTTTTTTCTGAGACAGAGTTTCACTCTGTTGCCCAGGCTGGAGTGCAGTGATGCGGTCATGGCTCCCTCCAGCCTTGATCCTGGGCTCAAGTAACCCTCTGCCCCAGCTTGCTGAGTAGCTGGGACTAAGGAGCACACCACTATGCCTAGTGAATTTTTAAATTTCTTGGAGGGACAGAGTCTCACCATGTTCCCTAGGCTGGTCTTGAACTCTTGGGCCCAAGTGATTCTCCTCCCTTGGCCTCCCAAAGTGCTGGGATTACAGGTGTGAGCCACCATGACTGGCCAAATAGTAACTCTTCCTATTCATGAAAATGGCTTATCTCTCCATTTAGTTAGTTCTTTAATTTCTGTCATCAGAGTTTTTTAGGTTTCCTCATACAGATTTTGTACATATTTTGTTTGATTTCTACCTAAGTATTTCATGTTTTGGGAGGCTAATACAAGTGGTATTGTGCTTTCAAATTCAAATTCCACTTGCTCATTGCTGGTTTATAGGAAAGCAGTTGACTTTTGTATATTAACCTTGTGTCCTATAACCTTACTATAATTGCTTACTAGTTCCAGGATTTTTTTTGTTGTTGATTCTTTGGCTTTTCTACATAAACTACCCTGTCATTTATGAAGAAAGTTTTATTTCTTGCTTCCCAGTCTATATCCCTTTTATTTCCTTTTCTTGTCTTATTGCATTAGTTAGGACTTCTATTATGATGATAAAAAGGAGTGGTGAGAGGGGGCATCCTTGCCATTATGGCCTTAACCTTAAGTTTCTTACCATGAAGCATAATATTAGCTATAGGCTTTTAATGGATATTCTTGACCAAATTGAGGAAGTTCCCCTCTCTCTCTCTCTTTTTTTTTTTTTTTTTTAAGAAACTGATGTTTATTTTCCATCAACTTTATTTCCATGTTGCTTAAGAGTGTGTGCAAGAACAGCTTAAGACCATTCAGTGGTTGCTCCTACTCATTCAGTGGTGTGAGCAGTGGGAGCTGCAGACCAGTCTTCCGTGGCAGGCTGGGCACTCCAGTCTTCAGTAGGGAACTGCTGGATAGGCACAGAGGGCACCTGCATGCCTTCAGACCAGTCTGCACCCTCAGGCTGAGGAGCAGTGAACTCAGGAGCTGGAGCAGTCCATTGGCCCTGAAATTTCTCCTTGGTCACAGCCTTTTCAGCAGCAGCCTGCTCTTCTTTTTCGATCTCTTCAGGATCTCTGTAGAAGTGGAGATTAGGCATGACCTCCCACAGGTGTTCATGGGACAGGGTGCCACGCATGCGCAGAACTTCCTGAGCCAGCATCCACCACATCAGACCCACTGAGTGAGCTCCCTTGTTGCATGGGATGACAATGTCCACATGGTACAGAGGAGAATCTGTGTTACACAGAGCAATCGTAGGCAGGTTAACATAAGACGCCTCCGTGAGAGGCTGGTGGTCAGTCTTGGGGTCAGTAACCACAAGAAGCCGTGGCTCCCAGAAGGCTGCCTGGATCTGGTTAGTGAAGGTTCCAGGAGTGAGGCGGCCAGCAATTGGAGTGGCTCCAGTGGCAGCAACAAACCTTAGCATGGCCCTCTGGCCAGTATTCCTGGAGGATTATAACACTGACATCAGCAGGGTTTTCAATGGCAACAATGGCATGGCCAGTAGAAGCTTCTCCCAGGTCCTCTGGAGATTTATGACGTAGATGCCATCACTTTTTTTTTTTTTTTTTGAGACAGACTCTGGCTCTGTTGCCAGGAGCCAGGCTGGAGTGCAGTGGCGCAATCTTGGCTCACTGCAACCTCCGCCTCCCAGATTCAAGCAATTCTCCTGCCTCAGCCTCCTGAGTAGCTAGGATTACAGGTGCATGCCACCACACCCAGCTAATTTTTGTATTTTAGTAGAGACTGGGTTTCACCATCTTGGCCAGGATGGTTTTATATTTAAGTCCTTAATCCATTCTGAGTTGATTTTTATATATGGTATGACATAAGGATCCAATTTCATGATTTCTATTTTTTAAAAAATTTGTTAAGGTGTTTCGGCCCAGGATATGGTCTATGTTGGTGAATATTTCACATGAACTTGAGAATAATGTGTATCCTTCTGTTGTTGGATGAATTAGTCTATAAATACCCATTATATTTAATTGATTGATGGTGTGGTTGAATTCAGGTGTGTCCTTACTGAATTTCTGCCTGCTGAATCTGCCAATTTCTGATAGAGGAGTTTTGAAGTGTCCACTATAATAGTGGATTCTTCTAGTTCTCTTTGCATGTCTGTTGATTTTTCCCTCACACATTTTGATATTCTGTTGATAGGCACATATACATTAAAGATTGTTATACTATTTTGGAGAATTGACCCCCTTAGCATTATGCAATGTCCCTTCTTTATCTGTGATACCTTTCCTTTCCCTGAAGCTTGCTCTCCCTGAAATTAATATAGCTTCTCTTGCTATCTTTTGATTAATGTTAGCATGGTATATCCTTGGCCATCTATTTATTTGTTTTTTTAAGTTTCATTTTTAGGCCAGACATGGTGGCTCACAACTGTAATCCCAGCACTTTGGGAGGCCAAGGTGGGTGAATCACATGAGGTCAGGAGCTCAAGACCAGCCTGGCCAACATGGTGAAACCCTGTCTCTACTAAAAATACAAAAATTAAGTGGGCACTGTGGCACACACCTGTAGTCCCAGCTATTCCAGAGGCTGAGGCAGGAGAATCACTTGAACCTGGGAGGCAGAGGTTGCAGTGAGTTGAGATTGTACCACCACACTTGAGCCTGGGTGACAGAGTGAGACTCTGTCTCAAAAAAAAAAAAAGTTTTATTTTTAATTGACAATTATATATATTAACAGAGAATGGGACACAATGTAATGTTTTGATATCTGTATTCACCGTGAAATGATTAGATCAAGCTAATTAACATGTATCAATACTTTTAAGTTTTTTATACTGAGAACACTTAAAATGTATTCTTTTAGCAGTTTTGAAATATGACACATTATTATTAACTATGGTCACCATACGGTGCAATAGATGTCAAAAACTTACTGTCTTCTGTAACCGAAACTTTGTATTCTTTGGTCAACATCTCTCATCCATTCTCTACTCCTGATAACTATCATTCTATTTTTTACTTCTGTAAGGTTGACTATTTTAAATTGCACATAGAGGTGAGATTGTGCAGTGTTTGTCTTTCTGTGCATAGATGATTTCACACAGTCCACCAGGTTTGTCTATATTGTCCCAGTGACAGAATTTCCTTAGTTTTACAGGCTGACTAGTATTCCATGTATATATATGTCACATTTTCTTATCCATTTCTCTGTTAATTGACACTTAGCGTGATACCATATCTTGGCTGTGGGAACAATTCTGCAATTAACATGGGAGCATAGATATCTCTTCAGCGTACTGATTTCAATTCTTTCTAATATATACCCAGAAGTGGGGTTACTAGATCGTATGATACTCTAATTTTAGTTTTTTGAGGAACCTCCATGCTGTTTTCCTGTAATGGCTGTACTAATTTACATTACAACAGTATACAAGTGTTCCTTTTTCTCCACATTCTTGCCAACACTTGTTATCTTTTGTATTTTTGATGATAGTCCATCTAACATGTATAAGATAATCTCTCATTGTGATTCTAATTTGCTTGATTATTCCTTGATTATTAGTGATGCTGAGCATTTTTACATAAACCTGTTGGCAGGCCGGGCGCGGTGGCTCAAGCCTGTAATCCCAGCACTTTGGGAGGCCGAGGCGGGTGGATCACGAGGTCAAGAGATCGAGACCATCCTGGTCAACATGGTGAAACCCCGTCTCTACTAAAAATACAAAAAATGAGCTGGGCATGGTGGTGCGTGCCTGTAATCCCAGCTACTCAGGAGAATTGCCTGAACCCAGGAGGCGGAGGTTGCGGTGAGCCGAGATCGCGCCATTGCACTCCAGCCTGGGTAACATGAGTGAAACTCCGTCTCAAAAAAAAAAAAAACAAAAAACAAAAAACAAAAAAAAACCTGTTGGCCATTTGTATGTCTTCTTTTAAGACATATCTCTTCAAGTCATTTGTCCATTTAAAAATCAGGTTATTTCTTTTCTTGCTATTAAGTTGAGTTTCTTATCTATTTGGGATATTAACCCCTTATCAGATGTGGGTGTACAGATTTTCTCCTACTCTGGGTTGTCTCTTCACTCTGTAAATTGTTTTCTTTGCTATGCAGAAGCTTTTTAGTTCATGCCATTCTATTTGTCTATTTTTGCTTTTCTTGTCTGTGCTTTTGAGGCCATATCCAAAGAATCATTGCTCAGACCAAAATTATCGAGGTTTCCCCCATGTTTTCTTATATTATTTTTACAGTTTCAGGTGTTTAAGTCCTTAATCTATTTTGAGTTGATTTTTATATCTGATACAAGGGTCCAGTTTCATTCTTCTGTGTGTGGATATTATTTTCCCAACTACCATTTATTGAAGAGACTGTCCTTTCTCTATTGTGTATGCCTGGCAACTTTATTGAAAATCAATTGACCATACATGCATGGGTTTATTTCTGGACTTTATTCTGTTCCATTGGTTGATCCTCTGTTTTTATGCCAATGCCATGCTGTTTTTTTTTTTTTTTTTAATTGATATATAATAGTTCTTTGTGGCTGGGTGAGGTGGCTCACACCTGTAATCCCAGCACCTTGGGAGACCAAGACGGGAGGATCACAAGGTCAGGAGATCGAGACCATTCTGGCCAACATGGTGAAACCCTGTCTCTACTAAATACAAAAAAATTAGGTGGGTGTGGTGGCACGCGCCTGTAGTCCCAGCTACTCAGGAAGCTGAGGCAGGAGAATCGCTGAACCCAGGCAGCGGAGGTTGCAGTAAGCCAAGATTGTGCCACTTCACTCTAGCCAGGCGACAGAGCAAGACTCTGTCTCCAAAAAAAAAAAAAAAAAAAAAAGTTGTTTGTATTTTTGTGGTACATGTGATATTTTTACATGTCTACAATGTATAATGATCAAATCAGGGTAATTGCTATATCCGCCACCTTAAACATATATCTTTTTTTGTGTGTTGGGAACATTCCAAGTTTTTTCTAGCTATTTTGAAATATACAGTAAATTATTGTTAACTATATGGTCTCTTTCCTAAATGCCATGCTATTTTGATTACTGTTGCTTGGTAGTATATTTTGAAATCAGGTAGTGTGAAATCTCTAGCTTTGTTCTTTTTGCTCAAGATCTCTTTGGCTATTTGGGGAATTTGTGGTTTCATATGAATTTTTGGATTTTTTTTATTTCTATTAAAAATGACATTCGAATTTTGATTTGAATTTTGCATTGAATCTCTAGATTGCTTTGGGTAATATGAACTTTGTTTTTGTTTTGAGATAGAGTCTTGCTCTGTTGCCCAGGCTGGAGTACAGTGCACAATCATAGCTCACTATAGCCTTGATCTCCCTAGCTCAAGTGATCCTCTCACTTCAGCTTCCTGAGTAGCTGGAACTACAGATGTGCACCACCATGTCTGGCTAATTTCTATATTTTTTGTAGAGATGGGGTTTTGCTATGTTGCTCAGGTTGGTCTCAAACTCCTGGGCTCAAGCAATCTTCTCACCTTGGATTCACAAAGTGTTGGGATTATTGGTGTGAGCCACTGCACCCAGCCACTCTGAACATTTTAACAGTATTAACTCTTCCAATCCATGATTATGGGATGTCTTTGCACTTATTTGTATTTTCTTCAATTTTTAAAATTAATGTTTTATTGTTTTCAATATACAAATCTCTCACCTCCTTGGTTAAATTTACTCCTATGTATTTTATTTATTTTTTGATGCTGTTGTAGATGGGATTGTTTTCTTAATTCATTTTTCAGACAGTTTGTCATTAGTGTACAGAAATGATACTTATTTTTATCGGTTGATTTTTGTATCCTGCAACTTTACTGACTTCACATATCAGCTATAACAGTTTCTTGAAGGAATATATAAGATCATGTCCCTAGTAAATAAAAACAAGTTTATTTCTTCCTTTCCTATTTGGATGCCTTTTATTTATTTTTCTTGCCTAATTGCTTTGCCTGGGACTTCCAATACTATGTTGGAAAGAAATTTCATCTATTTACTTTTACTTTTTTTGTTGTTGTTGTTGTTATTTAGTCTTTATTTCATAATCATAAACTTAACTCAACTCTGCAATCCAGCTAGGCATGGAAGGGAATAAGGAAAACGTGGAACCCAAAGGGAACTGCAGCGACAGCACAGATTTTAGGATACTGCAAGCAAATGGGGTGGAGGGGTGCTCTCCTGAGCTACAGAAGGAATGGTCTGGTGGTTAAGATAAAACACAAGTCAAACTTATTAAAGTTGTCCACAGTCAGCAATGGTCATCTTCTTGCTGGTCCTGTCATTCCTGGACCCAAAGAGGTCCATGGCCTCCACAATATTCATGCCTTCTTTCACCTTGCCAAAGGCCACATGCTTGCCATCCACCCACTCAGTCTTGACAGTGCAGATGAAAAACTGGGAACTGTTTGTGTTGGGTCCAGCATTTGCCATGGACAAGATGCCGGGACCTGTATGCTTTAGGATGAAGTTCTCATCATCAAATTTCTCCCCGTAGATGGACTTGCCACCAGTGCCATTATGGCGTGTGAAGTCACCACCCTGACATATAAACCCTGGAATAATTCTGTGAAAGCAGGAACCCTTATAACCAAATCCTTTCTCTCCAGTGCTCAGAGCACGGAAGTTTTCT